GGTTAGCGTGTATGCTTTTTAACTGAAATGTGAGCTCCAGTGCTTGCAAAAGTTATACACAGTACAATACAGTACAATAACTGTGCACAGACAGGAATTGTTTTATTGAATAAGCGGTCCGGGACGATCATTGGAGAGGTTTGAGGATGTGGCTGGCTTTCCTCCACCATATTATCTTCGCAATGTCCATAAAAGGTATTGCGGTGTGTGCGAATCTGGCTAGCCACTTAACAGCATCACAGTGTTGCCAGAATGTTGGCTGCTACAACCTCACAGTGAATTCTGAGGTTTTCCTGGTCCTACGGTGTACGACATTAAACTACGTTCGGACAATAAAAGATAGTTAACTTACCAATGCAAGCAAATAAAGACTTGTCTCCAGTACACTGGTACGAACACTGGCATGCAATTGTTGATTCAAATCGTCCAGATTGATACTGCGCGGTTTTTTGAAGAATCCCAAAAATAGGTACTTTTCACGAATAAAATCCGCCTTTGTGGGATGCATAGCATCCGTTGGATTGGGTTTCCGCGTTCTGACCGGTTTGTCCACCGTGCGAGAGGATGCATGATGCTGTCCAGCAGCCAGCATAGGCTCGTACAACACGTGTTCCCAGTACCGATTTGCACACGCGGCGGCCAAATAACGAACCATTTCCAACTGTGTCGATCGCCATCGGGACTTTTTCAAATGTTTTACCTGGAATAAAAAATAAGCATTCGCAAAATGAACGATCAAATGAGGGTGATCGTTTGGACGTACCTGACTGATGTGCCGTCCGAGTTGGCGATGCACCGCACTACACTCGTCACACAACAGTACACCCCGATTGACAGAAGCCCATTGCGGGGATAGGGCTGAGCAATCCGCACACACGTCGGACTGGGAGTCCATCCGGTGGGCTGATCAGGCGCGGCTGGCGCGATGTTTGATTATGGAATCAGAATGTGAGAAACAGGCTGAAATTGGACAAGAGGGAGATAGATTGAATGACCGATTTATTGAAACATAAAACCGGTAGGATGTGAACAGCGTTCGTAAACTTTGAACTGCACAGCTATGATCTGCATAAGATTACAACAAAACCACTCAGCAGAAGCAAGAACGAAAGGGATATCAGAGAGGACAAAGCCAGTAGTGGCGCGAATTCTAATGTCCAGTTGGGAAATCAGTACTGCGCAACCATTTCAAATGCGAAGTCACAATAAAACTGATCAACACGGTGCGAACGAGTTTGGCTGTACATTATGCCACAGTATTTAAATGAGTCTTGGCCAAAGAACACGTGATCTGTGAAATTGCCATTAAACACTTTAGGAGTAATGTCTGCAGTCACGAGAGCCTACTATTCGGGTACGTGAACCGGTAATTGAGGCTTTGGCGAACCATAAAAGCTTCACTGGGAGAGTTAAGTTACCGAATAGGACAATAATAAGGCTATTTGGCAATAACAGTATCCGGGCTTTTCGTGTTAATTAAATATAGCTAAAAATATCAAGAAACGTGTAAGATTTTGCGCGTGACAATGTCTTGATTTTCTGTCATATGCATCACTTAGTCTCGTGAAACTTCTAACAACGCTGAAAATTGACCGACCACTCGTTTCCGGCAACATTAGCCGAGTGTGCTCACACGATGTCTGTTCAGTTAGTCGATACAATCTGGTG